AAGCTCTTGTCTGAAGGCCTTTTTTCCCCCCACAGGCTAGATACGATGTTAATGACGATAATGTGAGCTTCCTCACAGCAACCTGGCAGTGACCTCTGCTCTGACCTGCAGAGACCACTGTCTCAAGAGGTAAAAGACAATTTAGTCCTTTATCCTTTGTAACCAAAATGACTCCAGTGCCATAAATTCTAATCAAGGCAACTCCGATTTAAAAAAAATAAAAAAATTGAATCATGTATGTTTCCTTAAAGAGCAATACAAGGGATCTACTAGCAAAATACAATCAGCTAGAAACAACTTCTCTCCTTTTCCGCTACAGCATATACGTGTACACATATATTGAAAGATGCACACAGTTCTGAAACATGGGTAACAATATAGGAAGGGAAAACAAAATCCCAAAGCCAATGCAGGGGTTTGAAAATAAACCCTTGTTTATGGAAATGTGAGCAGATTCATTTAATTTGCATATCCCTGCTCCCTATTTCAAGCACACACAGCATTATGAAAAAGCAAAAAAACTGGTAGTGAACCAAAGGAAACCACAGTCTTCAGATCCAGCACAGGAAACCTAAGATTTAATTTCACCAGAACAAAACCTTGCCAGCAGGAAAAAAAAAAAAAAGGTTAGCAGTCATTTTTTGCTGTCCTGTGATTATTAAATAGGAAACACTCATGCTCCACAATTATAGGCTTGGTCTTGCACTCACTATATACTTATAGCTTTATTTATTTCAGTAAGTTTGATGCATAGAACTACAGGCTGGATCTCAAAGAGCAACTTTTTATAATACAGTAAAATTACCTTAACATGCAACTGCATTCCCGGCTTTCTTTTTACCATCATCTAATTATGCCACAAATTACCCTCAATTAAGGATGATTTAAGGACTGGATCTAGCTCCAGGAAAGCCAGCCTTAGTCCACAGGGGCTTTTGGTCCTTGGACTAGCCACTTCTTTCCTGGGATTTTTACTGTACAGAGAATTTTATGCATGACATATCCCTGGTGTCTATACCAACTTCTGAATCTCAACAGTTATAACTTTACACAGCTAAACATGAAGGGTATTTTTTCCCTAATTTTTTTTTCAGATGAATACTTCATAGCTTATTCTAAACTTTTTTAAAGATACTGTATAAAATGGCAACTAGGATTAATTAACTTAGGATCAAATCCCAATGTTTATTGAAGTGAAGCTACTACTTAGCATTAACAAAGGCTTTCTCTAGTAAGAGCCATGGCATTTGGCCTGGGTTACTATTTTAAAGCATACTGCAGAATAAGAAAAGTTGATCTGAAAATGACACCGCCAGGACTGTCAACAGCCAGACGCCATTTCTCTGTTTCTTAATTACATCACATGATTAAAATAGGAGATACTGCTTCCCAAATATTTTAAAGAGTAAATAACACACCACAAGATCTCTTGCAAAGCAACTTTGCCTCATACTGCTCAGCAAAACTGGGATTTCTGTAACCAAAACACTGTAGCTGTGCTAATTCTACACTTCAAAACTCTACTTTGGAGCTAATGTGCTTCAGGACAGAGTCCTTTATCAACATTTTGCACTTCAGAAAGTATTTTCACCATGGTTTTTACTCCCTCCTTGTTTCACGTGTTTTTGGTATCAAAAGTCTTTAGCACGCAGGTATGTGGATTGCAAAAAGTCCACTGGTATAAAAGCGCACAGGAAGGATTACAGATGCAAACCCCCAGACTACAGGACAGCCTTTTCTTTCAGGGAAAACAAAAAACCCAAACAAAACCCACCCACCACCACCAAGAGAAAGTAAGTAGGCAAACAACAAGCAAGCACAACCCCTCTAACCACAGCTGGTCCTGTCATCACTCACAGGTAACAACTGCACCGCAGTGACAAAATGCATCTTCCCAGACACCTGTGCACCAGTTTCAAGTGGGAGCTATTTCAGATCGTCAGAAACTTATCCCAGCTCGTGCTGGTATTTCTGAGACCAAGGAGCTGCAGCATTCACCTGCTTTGTCACTGATACCAAAGCACCCATAAGAGAATCAAGTTTACTGCATATATTCCTAAGTCAAAAATAAGTATAATTAACTGTACTCCTGCCCTTTCCTCACCTGCAGCAGGGACTGTTGTTCAAGAGGTGCAATTTTTAGGATTAATTGTTCTATCGGCTACCAAAACAAAAAAATAAATACCCACTGTTTCTATGGTATGCAGCGAAATACTGAAACAAGGAAGTTTAAGAAAAAGGAGGTGGATTTTACGAAAAGGTACAGGTGAGCAATGCAGGTCCTTGCAGAAATAAACCCATCCATCAAAAGAAGCTAAGCAGAATGTGTCCGGTGAGAAAGAAGAAAGCTCTTCGCATCTAATCATTCAACTCTGTTCATCTATATGAAAATAAGAATCATGAAATATTGCTAACAGCAAGACACTCAAATGCTGGTCATTCATTCCAAGTAAATCAGTACATGATTTTCACAATTTTTTTTAAAAAAGTGAAAGCAGCAGCCTAGAAAAACTTTGTTCTCTCTGGACCTGTCTCCTCCCCTTGACTTCCTAAAATGCTCCTCCCTCTCCTGCTGA